AAACAAAAAGTTACCTACAAAGGACAGCCAGTAAGAATAAGCTCTGATTTCTCAACAGAAACCATGCAAATGAGAAGGCAAAGGGATGGTATATATAAAACCCTGAAAGAGAAAAAATTTCAAGCAAGAATTATATACCCGGCAAAATTGTCCCTCAAATAGGATGGTGAAATTAGATTTCCAGATAAGCAGAAACTAAGGGAATTTGTTAAAACCAGACCAATCTTACAAGTGATACTGAAGGGAGTCCTTTGAACAGAGAACCAAAAATAGCAAATAACAACCGACCATTAACACACAAGATGACATAACCCAGAAACCACAGATATGGACATATCCAAAGTAAAATGAGCCTACAAAATTATAAACAGGGAACCAAAGACATCAATTGGCAAGTGAGGACAACCACAAACCAAAAAGAGGGAAAAGACTGTGTAGTTACAGAACTTCTAAATGGTGAGGAGGTCAAGAGAGTTGCACGATAGAATGGACTGTTCAAAACTCAGGGAGAAAATTATAAATCATAGGGTAACCTCAAACACTTTAAAGAGATCTTTTGCAGCAGATTTTCCCAGTGCAATACAACATCTGATTTCTTGACTGCTGTTTCTATGGGTGTTGATTGTGGATCCAAGTAAAATGAAATCTTTGATAACTTCAATCTTTTCTCCATTTATCATGATGCTGATTATTGGTCCAGTCATGAGGATTTTCGTTTTATGTTGAGTTGTAATCCATACCAAAGAATGCAGTCTTTAAACTTCTTCAGTAAGTGCTTCAAGTCTTCACTTTCAGCAAGCACTGTTGTGTCATCTGCATATCACAGGTTGTTAATGGTTCTTCCTCCAATGCTGATGCTACATGCCTCTTCATGTAGTTCAGATTATTTGTTCAGCATACAGATTGAATAAGTATGGTGACAGGATACAACCTTGACTCACTCCCTTCTTGATTTTGAACCATGCAGTATCCCCTTGTTCTATTTGAATGACAGCCTCTTAGTCTATATACGGGTTGCTCAAGAGACAATTAAGTATTCTGGAATTCCCATTCTTCTCAATGTTATCTATAATTTGTTATGATCCACACAGTTGAATGCTTTTGCATAATCAATAAAACACAAGTAAACATCTTTCTGGTATTCTTTGCTTTGAGCCAACATCCATCTGACATCAGCAATGATATCCCTTGTTCCACGTCCTCTTCTGAATTCAGCTTGCATTTCTGGAAGTTCCCTGTCAATATACTGCTGCAATCTTTTTTTAATTATCTTCAGCAAAAATTTACTTCCATGTGATATTAATGATACTGTTTGATAAATTCTACACTTTGTGTGGTCACCTTTCTTTGGAATGGGTACATACCTGGATCTCTTCCAGTCAGTTGGCCAGGTAGCTATCTTCAAATTTCTTGGTAAAGATGACTGAGTGCCTCTAGCATGGCTTCTGTTTGTTGAAACATCTCAATGGATATTCTGTCAATTCCTGGAGATTCGTTTTCTGCCAATTCCCTCAGTATAGCTTCAACTTCTTTTTTCGATACCACTTGTTCTTCATCATATGCCACCTCCTAAAATAGATGGACATTTTATATACAGTGATTCTGTGTATTCCATCCATCTTCTTTTGAGATTTGCTGCATCATTCAATATATTGCCCATAGAATCTTACAATATTGCAACTTGAGGCTTGAATTTTTTCTTCAGTTCTTTCAGCTTGAGAAATGCCAAGTGTATTCTTTTCTTTTGGTTTTCTAACTCCAAGTCTTTGCACATTTCATTATAATAATTGATTTTTTTCTTTTCGAGCTGCTCTTTGAAATCTTCTGTTCAGCTCTTTTATCTTGCCATTTTTTCCATTTGCTTTAGCTACTCTCCATTTAAGAGCAAGTTTCAGAGTCTCTTCTAACATCCATTTTGGTCTTTTCTTCCTTTCCTGTCTCTTTAATGACCTTTTGCTTTCTTCATGTGAGACATTCTTGATGTCATCCCACAAGTCCTCTGGTTTTCAGTCACTGGTGTACAATGCAACAAATCTATCCTTTAGATGGTCTCTAAATTCAGGTGGGATATAATCAAGGTCATATATTGGCTCTCATGGACTTATTTTAATTGCCTTCAGCTTCAACTTGAAACTGCATATGAGCAATTGATGGTCTGTTCCCCAGTCAGCTCCTGGCCTTGTTGTTATTCCACCTGGTGAGGTCCACGTGTAGAACCACCATTTAAGCTATTGAAGAAAAGTATTTACAGTAAGTAAGCTGTTGGTCTTGCAAAATTCTCTCATGCAATCTCTGGAGTCATGTCTATCACCAAGGCCATATTTTCCAACTACCATTAATTTTTCTTTGCTTCCAATTTTCACATTCCAATTACCAGTAACAGGCAATAAATCTTGATTGCATGTTTGGTCAATTTCAGACTACAGAAGTTGGTAAAAATCTTAAATTTCTTCATCTTTGGCTTTAGTGGTTGTGCATAAATTTCAATAGTAGTAATAGTAACTGGTCTTCCTTGTAGGTGTATGGATATTGTTCTGTCACTGACAGCACTGTACTTCAGGACTGATCTTGAAACATTCTTTGTGATGATGAATGCCATGCTACTCCTCTTCATTTTGTCATTCCCAGCATAGATCACATGATTGTTTGAATCAAAATGGCTAAAGCCAGTCCATTTCAACTTGCTAATGCATAGAATATTGATCTTGATGCATTCCATTTCATTTTTGACAACTTCCAATTTCCTACACTCTTACTTTGTACATTCCACATTCTGATTATTAATGGATGTTTGCAGCTATTTCTTCCCATTATGAGTCATGCCCCATCAGCAAATGGAGGTCCTCAAAGCTTTACTCCATCCACATCTTAAGGCTGGCTCTTCTATGAGGAGGTGGGTCTTCTCCAGTTGTAATTTGAGTGCCTTCCAACCTGAAGGTGCTCATCTTCTGGCACTATATCAGACAGTGTTTCAGGGCTGTATATGACGTTTTCCAGTAATATATGAGGCAGTATTTCCTTGCTATTCATAATGTTTTATCTGGCCAGTTTTTGAGAAGTGGATGGCCCCTTCCTTCTTCCCAATAGGTTCATACAAGCTCCCTCAAAAAACAGATGAATTGTGCTTAAAGTCAATATTAAAGAGTAAAATCTGTGAGTTTCTAATTTGAAAAGTCTACGTGACCTTAATGCAATCCTGCAAAACTTAAAAGTCAATTATAGTGGTTTAATCTGAGTTATTCAATATTTATGTTTAGCCTACTCTGTGATTCAAGGAGATAAGCAAGCCAGCAGGCAAACCCTCCTTTTTGCCTACCTTACCAAATTCACTGCCATCGAGTCGGATCCGACTCACAGTGACCTCTCCCTGGGTTTCCGAGGAGGTATCTCTACAGAAGTAGATTGCCCAATCTTCCTTCCAAGGAGTGGCTGGTGGGTTTGAACTGGCTGTCTTCTGGTTAGCAGTCAAATGCCTTAGGCACTACATCAGGTCTTTATCCTGGTCCATTTCATGGTTTTAATCAGACTCGACCGCCTTTCTGAGTATGGCCACAGAGAGGTGATCAAGGTACTAATGGAAAGGGGATGGGTCAAGAGCTGAATCCATACTCTTACAGCTCCACAAGCACATACAAGTATGTATTTACACACACACACACACACCCTCCCCCAAACTTTCCTAACTACATAACAGTGATCACATATGAAATATTTTTCAAATCCTACCTTTGTATCTATTTAAAATATTAAAGACAATCTCTCTCTCTTTTTTTAACCAAAGCAGGTAATATCAACAATATTGTCAACAAAACCAGTGATTAATTTTGACAAAAAGATAAAAACTATATTCAAAATGTTATGCTGTTTTTATAGACTTCTAAATAGAAAATTTACAAATTCACATTTTTTATGCCCCATAAAATCCTAGCATACATAGTTCCATTACGTGTTCTAAAAGAGGTTAAATTTTACCTGTGACATACAAAGTTGCAGGTAGTGAGAAAAGCGGCCTTTGTACAAAGTGATGCAGAGGCTGTTTCTTAATGTGTGGACTCATCATTATGTGATGGAACCTACATTTTAAAAACAGTAACATGACATTTTAAGAGATCTAATCTTTTAAACTCAAGTTACTTCTTCTCAGGCATAAAAGACATAAGTAAAACTGAAACATAATCAGCAATGAAAATAATTACAGAGTTGACTTTATTTTCCATCTACATTATTTTCACTTAATTAGGCAAGCTGTGTCTGTAAACAATTCACAAATAGAGCTGAAATGGAAACATATAACCTTGATAAATAGGTGTACAAAGGATAGTGTAACATTTAAACAGAAATATTTCTACATTAGTGATTTATAACTTAGAATCCCAGATTCTTTACTATGCATTAAGGAGGCAAAGAACTGCAAGCTTTTTCTTCACTGTTTTCTTTTAAAACTAGGCAATAGATTCACATGGTACAAAATTTAAAAGAACAAAAGTACAGTGAAAGTCTTTCTTCTTTACTGTTTCCTATCACCATGCTTCTTTCTCTAGAGATAACCTATGTTACCTGTTTTCAAAAGCATTTCAATACTTGAAAACTCTCAAAAGCCAAAAACCAAACCCAATTCCATCAAGTTGACTGTGACTCATGGTGACTTTATAGGGCAGGGCAGAAATGCCCCACAGGGTTTTCAAAGCTATAAATCTCTATGAAAGCAGACTATCTTATCTTTTTCATGTGGAGCATCTGGTGGGTTTGAACCACTGAACTTTTTGGCTTGCAGCTGAATGCTATAACCACTGCACCACCAGGGCTCCTAGTGTATTAGTCTCCTCCTAAGCTCTGGTAGCATAGTGGCTAAGGCACTTGACTGCTAACCAGAAGGCTGGCGGTTCAAACCC